AAAAAAAAAAAAAAAAAAAAAAATGGATTTTTTGAGTTTTTACCCTGCCCAAGGTGCCATGCTTTATGCCACAAGGAAAAATGAAGAAGAAAGAAAGAAGCAGTGGCCCCGGTGTCCTGGAAGTCACAGTCGAGTGGGACAGATAAGAGGGAGCTAGCACAAGGCTCTGGAGGGTTCCCACTGGCAGATCAGGAAAGTGGCCAGAGAGTAGGCAGCATTTGAGCTGGGCCCTGAGCCCAGACAGTGCTGTGGTCGGCCTGCACTGTAGGGCTGTGTCTGTCTGTCTCTCACTGCTGGTCGCCTGCTGGTCCCTTTGGCAGATGACCCCGCATGAGATCAAGTTCGCTGTGCATGTTGAGTCGGTGCTGAACCGTGTGCCCCAGCCCGAGTACCGGCAGCTGCTGGTAGAAGCCATCATGGTTCTGACACTACTCTCGGATGCCGAGCTCAATAGCATTGGGGGTATCATCCATGTGGACCAGATCGTGCAGATGGCCAATCAGCTGTTCCTGCAGGACCAGGTGTGTGTGCCAGGCCCGCCCACGCACCCCCCAGTCGGCAGGGACAGGGCAGGGGAGCCGGGCTGGCTGGCATTTCTCTCTGTTGAGCCTGGAGATTCTGTGTCCAATAGAAAAGAATATACTCAACCAAAGAAAATGTCATCACAGATGGTGAAAAAATGTCAACCATTTGGTTAGAAAATGGCACAGTGGCCACTTGGGAAATCTGAAGACCTTTGGGGCCAGGCAGGCCTGTCTCAGTGTAGGTTTTAGTCCAGACACCACCACTTGCTACGTATGTATATGGCCCTGGGTAAACCAGTTACCCTATGCACCAAATCAAGTTAGGTGAAGCTGTCCTCTCATTACAGAATCAACAATGAGCTGTAAACGAGGGTCTGTGAAAACACAGTACAGTGCCCAGAGCACAGGCGGAATGCCCCCCAGGTGGCACCAGCTTCCTGTCACAGGGATTGGAGCTCTTCTGTAGCACCATGACCCCTTCTTACAGTGACTCACCTCCAATGTGCAGGATCTTTCCCAGGGGCCTGTGGACTCTGCTCACTCTTTCCCTCTGCCTTTTCCTGCTGCAGGTGTCAGTTGGAGCTACAGACACCCTGGAGAAAGACCAAGTCACGGGAATTTGCCACTTCTTTTATGACAGTGCTCCAAGTGGGGCTTATGGGACAATGACCTACCTAACGAAAGCAGTGGCTTCTCATTTGCAGGAATTGCTGCCTAATTCAGGGTGCCAGATGCAATAGGGTCTTGCCTATAAACATGACCATGCTATGAATCAGTCCCTTGCCCCCTAGCCTCATTGGAAACTTTCTTCTGTCCCCCAAGATCCCCTGTCCTGTCACAAAAGCATGTCCCATCAGAAATGCTGGCGAGGAAGAGATGGCAGCACTCAACCTGAAGCCACAGACAGAGCTGATGACTCCTGTGCTCCCTAAGGAGCGCCCTGGGATCATTTTCTAGGTACATTTCACTGGAACATTTGTCACAGCATCTGGTCTCGCAGACTCTGAGGAGGAATTGGAAATTGGTCTCTTTTGAGTGCAGAGTGAATTGAGAAGCCAGCTTAAATTGGCTCTCGCTGAGTTACAGAAATAGGTTCGATGAGCTGGTGACACATCCTAAAGATGGAAAGATCCTTCCAGCAGCAGTAGCTAGACAAGCAGACCTTGACAAGGGGAACATCTTACCAGGATGCAGTCTGTCTGCAGACCCAACTGTTTACCAAATAGAACAATTCTATCTTTCTGTGGCATTCTGCTCTTGTGCCTTGCTTGCTTGCTTAGCCTCTCATTTCATTGGCATGACTACCTTCGTGTAATATTTAGGAAATAGCTCCTAGTTAACTTTGGCTCATGATCTTCAGGATTTTATCCTGGCTGCCCATGAATTAGGACTTTCTCCTGCCTAACAAAAAAACCTACATCTTCCAGAACCTAGCAAAAAAAAAATAGGTGAGGATCCAGCTCTTCTTCTAGGCAGGCAAACTGTGTTTTTAGGTCTGAGCAAGTAGGGAGGCCCTGGGAAGGCCTGTGCCCCCAGCATGGGTGAACCTCCCGGGCTCTGGGGGAACCACCACGTCGCAAGCATGAGCCAGCAGATGCCACACAAACTAGGGGTGTGTTCCCACAGAAATGGTGCTTTCTACTTCAGAAGAGAGCCAGGCAGGAACTTGAACCCTCTTCATGGAAGCACTTCCGTCTCCGCTCACAGGTAGGTGTGCTCCCAGCCACTGGCTGCAGGGGCGCGAGCAGTAAGTCACGACGGTCTGTCGGGTCCTTCACCGGTGTGCTGCAGGTGGAGCTGCTCTCCAGGCCTTGGCTTACCTTGGGGCATGAGCAACAGCAACAGGGAAAACAGCTTCTGTCAATAATAAACCTTGGAGAGCTGTCCGCTAGTGGCCCGATGGTGCACTCTGTTCGAGAGTGGTGGCTTAGATTCGTGGCGACTGCCCCTGACATGGAAACGAGGCTATTGGATTGTTTCCTCAGAAGCTTATGTGGAGGTGGCTGCTAGCTGTTGCAAGAGGACATCACTGTGCCCAGCACCCCTCAGAGCCAAGACACAGTCCTGGCAGTTATTCTTGAAGCAGAGGACAGGCCAGATGGCAGAGTCTCTTTTCAGTCCAAGCCAGATACCCTGTAGGAGACAGTCGCAGAGCACTTGTCTAGGCCTGGTGGCGTGCAGGCGCCGTTCATGTGGGACTTCATTTCCTCCAAACTACAGTGGCCCTTGCTGTGGCACAGAGTGGTTACCAAAAGAAAACTCCCCCAGCGTCTCAGTTTCTGCTGCAATGGACTTGTGCATTCCTCTCATTTGGGGAGCAGATCCCAGAGATGGAGTGGGCAGCCGGGCCTGGCCCCCAGCTCCTGCATTGCCCCTGCACTTTCCTGGGCACCCCTGTCCCAGACAAGGCAGAGGCTGTCCGTTGGGGCTGGTGGCAGTGAGGCAGCAGCCCCTGGCTGGAGCCACTCTCCCCTCGCCGGCCTGGTCGCCCCCATCTGCCTCTGTGGCTCCAGGGGCCCAGCCTCCCAGGTCTTTTAGTAGCATTTTCACAGCCTTTTTTTGTGTGGTGTCTTGTGGTGACGTAAACAAGGGTCATAGAGTCATTCACCAGACAGCTCTCTGGTGGGTCGTTTGCAATCTAGATGATGTAAGGAAACCCCTGTCCCAGACAAGGCAGGGGCTGTCCGTTGGGGCTGGTGGCAGTGAGGCAGCAGCCCCTGGCTGGAGCCACTCTCCCCTCGCCGGCCTGGTCGCCCCCATCTGCCTCTGTGGCTCCAGGGGCCCAGCCTCCCAGGTCTTTTAGTAGCATTTTCACAGCCTTTTTTTGTGTGGTGTCTTGTGGTGACGTAAACAAGGGTCATAGAGTCATTCACCAGACAGCTCTCTGGTGGGTCGTTTGCAATCTAGATGATGTAAGGAAAGCACAAGGCGTGACAGTCCAGTGGATTCTGGGGAAAAGCATGGGGAAAGCTGGCAGCCTCCAAAATGAGCCAGAGCCAGTGCCCATCTAGAGCGTCACCTGCCTGTGAGGACACAGAAGCCACAGCTGTCGGGAGGGGCTGTCATAAGTGATTCGGCGAGCCTTGAAAATGAAGTCTTGAAGCAGGGCTGCATTTCCCCAGGCATGACGCTGGCAGCTTCAGGCAAGGAGAGTGGGCTTCTGAGGCTGGATCCCTTTAGCCGAGGCCTGTGCAGGGACAGGAGAGACATGTGAGTGACCACAGAGGTCCTGTCCCGACACATCCTTGCCTGGGGGAACTCCACTTCCATGCCAGTCACCAGTCTCGAATGGGCCCTGCAGCCCCCAGATCCTTGGGTCTTGGGGGCCATGGAGGGACTGTTTCCTGTCTATCCCCTCAGAGCTGAAAAGCCGATCATGACCTTTGCTGGGGCTGGGGGGTAGAACATTCTGTCTCAGAGGACAAGCCTTTGGGGCCAGGAACAGACATTGCTTTCACCATCGTCAGTTGAAAAGCAGCTGGCCACCTCACCTGCTGCTCTCCCTGGCATTGACCCAGCACTGATATTTGGGAGTGAGTTAATCTCTGTGTGCCTCAGTTTGCTGATCTGCAGGAAGTGTGAGAGGCCTGCAGACTGGCACAGCACTAAGCATGAGGGAATGAGATGAATGCCCCTGTAGTGTGTTGAATTATGTCCCCCCAAAACTCAAGCTCGAATTCTGTCCCCCAAGTTTTATGTATTAGAAACTTGGTCTCCACTGTGACTGTTAAGAGGATGGGAAATCCTATTGTGGTAATTGAAAGGTAGAGCCTTGAAAAGGTGATTGGATTGTGGGACCATGCTGTAGTGAACGGATTAAAAATGGGGTTGGGGCGTGGTTCTGAGGGCTTTAAAAGAAGAGGAGAGGAGAGTCTCTCTTTCTCTCTGCTGTCTCTGCTTCTACCATCTTGCAATGTGAGACTCCTGGGTCACTGTCACCACCACCAGATGGACTTTGGACTTCCCAGCCTCAGAAACTAAGCAATAAATTTCATTTCCTTTATAAATCACCCAGTTCCAGGTATTTTGTTGTAAGCAATAGAAACAGACTAATACAGAAAATTGGTACCAGGAGTGAGGTGTTGCTTATAACAGATCTTAAAAATGTGGAAGCGGCCCTGGAACTGGGCAGTGGGCAAAGGCTGGAGGAATTTGGAGGAAAAGGCTAGAAAAGGTCTAGATGGTGGTGAAAGCTTAGAAGGCAGGAAAACCAGGGAAAGTTTGGAGTGTTTTAGAGACTGGTTAAATGGTGGTGACCAGAATGCTTATGGAAATACAGACTGTAAAGACCATTCTAAGAAGGTCTCAGCTAGAAATAAGAAGGAATTTATTGGAAACTGGGGCAAAGATCAACCTTGCTATGAACTGGCAATGAACTTGGCTGCATTGTGTCCATGCTCTAGGATTTTGTGGAAGTTGGAACCTAAGAGTTGTGAAACAGAGTATTTGGTGGAAGAAATTTCTAAGCAGCAAAGCATTCAGGAAGCTGCATGGCTACTTGCAACAGCCTATGTTGAGTTATGGCAGAAAAGGCAGGATGTAAAGCCAGAATTTAAAAGGAGAGCAGAGCATAAAGATTTGGAAAAATTGCAGCCTGGCCATGTGGTAGAGAAGCAGAGAGCATTTTCCAAAGAAAAATGCAGTAGTGCTTTGAAGATTAGTACAAAAGTACAGGATTATCAAGAGAAGGGGAAAAGGGCCCTGAAGGCATTGCAGAAGCCTCTGGGGCCAGCCCTTCCATTTCAGGCCCAAAGGCCTAGGGAGGCAGAATGGTCTTGGGGAACAGGCCTGAGGCGCCCTCCATGGGCTCACTGCCCAGGGCCACCTCGGGAAGCTGCTTACAGTATCAGCACCCTGGCTGCTTTGGCTGCTCCAGCCATGGCTAAATTGGCCCCAGGTGTGGCTGGATCTGCAGCTTTAGAAAATATAGGCCAGAAGCCTTGGTAGAGTCCACGTAGTGTTAGGTCTGCAGGCTCACAGAATGCCAGAGCTGGGAAGGCTTGGGAGCCTCCACCCAGATTTCAAAGGATGTTTGGAAAAGTCTGGGGGCCCAGGAAGAGATCTGTCACAGGGGTGGAGTCACCACATAGAGCCTTTGCTAGAGCAATGCCAAGTGGAAACATGGAGTTGGAGTTGCAGCAGAGAAACCCCAATAGCACCATGCCTAGTGGAGCCCTGAGAGCGGGACGTACACGGAGACCCCAGACCTGTGGAGCTACCAGAGTGGAACACCAGCCTGGGAGAGCTGAAGACCAGGAAAGCCATAGAAGTGGAGCTGCCTGAGGACTTGGGGACACAACCCCCACACCAGTGTGCAGAGGACATGGAACATGGACTCAAGGTACTTGATTCACCGGCTTTGAAATTTATTGCCTGCCCTGCTGGGTTTCAGACTTGCTTAGGACCTGTTATCCCTTTCTTTTGGCCTATTTCTCCCTTTTGGAATGGAAATATGTACCCTATGTTTGTATCATTATTGTATCTTGGAAGCAGATACTTTTTAAATTCACAGATGGGACTTTGAACTTTGGACTTTTGAGTTAAACACCTTAAGACTTTGGGGATGAAATGAATGTACTTGTACGTGAAAAGGACATGAGTTTTTGGGGGCCAGGGGCGGAATGTAGTGGATTGAATTATGTCCCCCCCAGAACTCACTGAGGCTTGAATTGTGTCCCCCAAGTTTTAAATATCAGAAGCTTGGTCCCCACTATGACTGTTAAGAGGGTGGGAAATCCTATTATGGTAATTGAAAGGTGGAGACTGGAAGACGTGATTGGATTGTAGGACCGTGCAGTAGTGAATGGATTAAAAATGGTGGTCAAGGGCCTGGTTCTGAGGGCTTTAAAAAAGAGAGGAGAGTCTCTCTCTCTTTGTGCTCTCTCTGCTTCCACCATCTTGCAATGTGAAACCCCTGGGTCACTGTCACCACCACCAGATGGACTTTGGACTTCCCAGCCTCAGAAACTGTAAGCAATAAATTTCATTTCTTTTAAATTATCCAGTTCCAGGTATTTTGTTGTAAGCAACAGAAACAGACTAATACTGCCCTTGACTCAGCCCATGGTGGTCGGGGCAGGGGCTTCCTGCTCACAGGAAAGCAGACATGGCCTGAGGCAACCCAAGGCTGGCAGCTCAGTGTCGCCGCAGGGTGTGGAAATCTGTCAGGAGGTCAGTGAGGGTCTGCAGCTCTTCTGTGGCGTGGTGAAGGGAAGGAGAGCTTGTTAAGCATCAGCTGCCTGATAGAGAGGACAGAAATGCTCCCTGTGTAAAAAAAAATGAAAGAAAGAAAGAAAAGCGACCGAGGATCAGGAGCAAGAGAGTGGTTTGGCAGTTGATTGATGCCATTTATTTCTGGACCAGAAGACAGGAGGCTTGGCCTCCCTTGATGTAAATTACAGCCGAACCCTCTCTCGGTTCTATTGACTGGCACTCAAGTCTGGCAAATAGCTTTTGTCTTTTGTGCTTCCTTGTTGTCAAAGGGTACAAAGGCCTCCCACCTCCTCTCTTTGTGCCATAATCTTTCAAGGTGACTCTTATGCTTTTGAAGTCCCTGCCATCTGCTTGGTGCAGATCTGCACTTTGCAGGATGCGAGAGCACCATGTTCCCAGAGTGCTTTTTGTTCTCCCCGGACATGGCCCTTGCTAGCTGTGAGGAGAAGAAAGCAGTGCTGTCACCCTATTACAGCCCAGTCCCCCTGGTCTCCCTCAGAAAGCCACTTAGGAAAAGCAGTGGCCTTGAGTTACCAAGAGAGTTCTCTGGGGAATAAGACCTAAAACTGCAAGAGAGACTGTTCTCCAGTCTATGGCTTAGAGTGTTTGACTGATGATTTGGGAGAGGGAAAAATTCTATCAGAAGACTACTGTGTTTTTTTCCTAAAGGAAC